AGAGAGAAGTTCAAGGTATTTACATTTATAGGTACACAATTATATACATTCTTTGTAGGCATTCCACACTAATTCAGCAAAAAAATAGTGCCCAATCAGGATACTCAAACCACCAAAATTGGTATGTCTTTGAAAGGTAAAGGCAAGTCTAAGGAAGAAGAATTACCAATCAAAAGAAAACTATCTACAGGTATGGTTTGTACCTTGCACATCTTTTTATAAGGAAATAACACATTTATATAATAATAGTTTCTATAGAAGATATTGAGCACACTAAAGTTCAAGAAGTTATTTCAACAACTCCAAGCATCAAAGAAATCAATAATTGGACTCCTGAACATGTTATTAATTTTTTGAAGTTCAAAAAAGAGAACAGGGGTTACATATTAATGACCAAGATATCAAAATAATTGAGAATAATCGGGTCGATGGAAGCTCATTTCTTAGTCTGACTGAAGAAAAACTCCTAAAGCATCCATTTAATCTTGTTGGTGGTCAGGCATATGAAATTGCACATCTGATTAAACATCTTAAAGGTGAAGAAGGTAAATAATACGATCTAGATTATTGTAACAAATATATAAAATGATTACAGCTAGAATATTAACTTGTTTTAAACTAATTTTATGAATAATTTATGAAATATTATCTCATTATCCTTATTAATATGAAACAGGTCAAATATATCAAGCACAAGGTATGTAATATCAATTAAATAAAAAATTGTTTAATTCAAATTGTTTAGTTATTTATTTATTTTTAGATCCTAGCAGTTTGCATGAGATTGTAAAAAATGCCGTGGTTGAAGCAAATGATCCTAGCAGATTGTATGAGATTGTAAAAAATGCTATAGTTGAAGCAAATAAGGAAAAATCATTTGAAGTGATTAGTGCATCAAAACTAAGTTTGACTAAAATGAACAAAATTAAAAAAGCTATGGGCTTAGGTTCTTATTCTGTATGTATAATGATTCCTACAAATAACCAATTTCTAATATTAATTAATATTATCTTTTTTCACTAAAGATAACTAGCAAAAATTTCTCAGATCCTTCTTCATACATAGAATGCGATGGATTTAAATGGAATGTGGACAAGGATGAAGACAAGCAAATGCAAGTTGTTAAGGACTGGTTTAAAATTGTATTAAATTTAGGAGAAGATTATTCTGTTGAAGATGTTCATAAAGACATGAAAAAAGAAGTAACTTTAGATAAAGCTTATACCATATTACGGGGTGGATTTGATATCAGTATTGGCCCAAATATATCAGGATGTGTTTATATAGAAACAAAAAGGCTATTCCAAGAATTAAAATCTGAAGAACACCAAGCTAAAGGAAAATTACTTATTGCGAATGCAAACATTGAATTAGACGTCTTGATCGTACTAACTGACTGTAATGACAAGTGGTCTCTTTTTTTTATAATCAAAGAAGAAGAGCGATATCATATCATAACTGCAAAAATTGATGATCGTGGAAAAGCATTAGGTATAATCAAGGATTTCGTTCTTGAACAAGGAATCAAATATAATAATATATTTGGATCAAATCTAAGAGCTGCTGAAAAAGAAGAGATAAAGTATGGCCCATTATCAAAAAAGGCGAAATTCAGAGAAGTTATTGAATTTTGTGATTAAAGAATGTTTGACATTATTCCAGATATGTATTAAATCGAATGAATACTAAGGATGCTTGAAAAATCGGTTCCTAATAATGATAAACCTATTATACAACGCTACTTATCAGCGTTTGGTGATGATTATGAGAATTATGAGACCTCATAAAATATTGAATTGTCTTTCTCATACATATAATTCTCATTTCGAAAATAGTATAATTTTGTTATACAATTTGATCAATAGGTGTATTGAATTTGATACAATAAAGTGGACCAATTTCTATTCTATTGTGTTAAGCAAATTCTTAATCGTTTAAAAAAGATTTAAGTTTTATTTACTAACAACGCAAAACAAGATAAATTTATGACCTTCACTATATATTTGCAACATTGGTATTTTTATAAGAAAAAATAGGGAATTTCGATCGGGTTCTATGATGCGATTGCAATTACTGATTCCAATAGAAGATAGATACAATACTCTGCCGTGGGTTATCATTATCAACTTAGAAGACCTATGAAATCTTAACTGAAGCATGAAATTATCACTTTTTACAAAAATGATGCATTAATCTAATATTATTATGTATTTGTTCATAAAGAATAATATCAAGGTGTAAAATAATTTAATTATATAAAATTAGTTTTATAAATCAATAGAGATGTCGAAAAACATCCATTAACAAAGTAAATTGTTTTACTGAGAAATCTTAATTAGTAAGATTATTGAACTTCAACATATCTTTGACAATAAATAAAGAAAAATAAAAGTACAATTAATAAATATAACTATAAAAATTCTAGCTACTATTGCTATCTAATATTATACAAAAGCAGTTTAATAAAATTTCCTACTATGGTTTTGTAAAATCAAAATAACAAACAACGCATAAAATGTATGGCAAAACGTGGACACATAATATAAAAGATATAATTAACTACAGTAATGCCAAATTACAAAACGTTAAATAGATAATCAAAATAAATTTAGGAATTTAATTTCATGTAAAGAACTTCATTTGTCAAATGTGGTGCGGAATTATATTTACGTGCGCCGTTTTAATGGAATTACGCTCTACTTTTAACTTTGTTTCGGTTATTTCAGTATGAAGAATCTCTTGAAAAATATCTCAGGATAAAAAGTACATTAAGATAAAATCATATGAACATTTTGATAAGTCATTAGGAGTTTGAAAGAAACAATGTAGATTATAATACGAGCAAATTTCAAGAAGCGCTTGAAGATTTTGATAAAATATCAGAGTTTGAACCAAATAATGTAAATATTTGCGATTACGAGGAGAAATTCATTATCGCTAGGTAAATTTGAAAAATCGAAATTGCTTGAAGAATTTTAGAACTCGAACTGAATAATATTGATGTGTTGTATAAAAAAGCACATAATGATATTAGTAAATTACTTGAACCAAACAATATAAGAGTGTCACTCACAAATGGAGATTGTAATAGACTTTCATGCAGACACAAAGAAGCGCTTATGGATATGAATGGATTATTAGTAATTAAACAGAATAATTCTTGCAATATTTCTTCAGGTTGTAACATATGAAAAAATATTATGATTTGCTTGCAGATTATAACAAAGAAACAAAGGATGTACGCACATTGAAGATTTGAGGAAAAGCCTGAAGAAGCACTTGTAGTTTCATTAAATCAATGGAGATTGAACCGAATGATATATCTATATTAATTGATCGTAGAGAAGCTTATTGCATGATAAAGGCGTGCGATATAGCACTTGAAGATTTATTGCGGTTTGCAAAATTTTTGATTTCTTAAAACTACTCTAACAAGAAATCGTTAAAACATTTCTAGCAATAGAGCAGAATAATGAGAGTGCATGAACATGGTGTAGCATACTGTGCAATGGGCAGTATGAAGAAGAACTTATGAACTCAAATGAATCATCAAATGAAGGTATTTTGCATCAAATAAATTACGATGGTGCCGATAACATAGATTAATCGCGTAGAATAGAGAAATACAATCAGGGAAGGTATGGATCTTGAGGATTCTAGGAGAAACCTAATGACAACTCTGTATATGTGACAAACACTCGAGGATTTATGTTTGCATTAGGAAAACGTAGAGAAGTATATTATAAGATAAAATATGAATATGCACTTACTGACCTAAACAATTCATTAAAATCAAATCAGATGATGCGTCTTCATGGATTAATTTATCGTTTAATGGGCAGACATTTGAAGATTTGTCGCTCTTTTCAAAACTCTAATTGTGGAAATCGATTGCATATACCCTACATCCCAAAGTTTTGAAGTTTATGATGAACAATCGTAAATATTAGCTTATAATTAATTAACAATAATTAATGATACCGATACGACACTTTTTCAATGTTAAATTTTTATTATAGAAAATAATTTATCTTCTATAGTACATTAATAAAACCTAGTCACGCAAACTTATTCAGGATCACATATTAAAACAAATTTGAAATTAAAAAAATTAATTTCCTAACAATTTATCACTTAAATATTTTATTATCACTACAAAATTGCCTGAATTTAACATACTATTTAGAATTTATGATTTTACTCTGATAATATTTGATTGTAACAATTAGAAGATAAAAAAATAATTACAAATGACAAAAATTTACAAAAAGATAATAGTCAAATTTAGAATAAATATCCTAAGATTTTGTGTGGTGAAACATAAAAATAATGACTTAAGGATCACATACCAGGAACGGAGTGCATGGTTAAGCGGCATATGAAGTGTTTCTGTACAAATCCGTGCTTTTGATTGGATATCTCTTTTTTATCCGTCATATGATCACTTCTTTTTGTAAACCTGTTTTATATAAAAGGGTTTTTATATATATATATGAGAGCCGCCAATATAAACCTGTCATCGGACTTTATGTTTTGTGTACAATTAGCCGTCTATGGAAAATCTTAGATTCTTCGTCGTAGACGGTTAACTGTATATAGAATATAATTAAAAGTCCG